TGTGTGTGTGTGTGTGTGTGTGTGTGTGTGTGTGTGTGTGTTTCTTGATGCGATTCAGTCGCAGTGGTCAGGGGGAAATAATCTGTACAATCAAGCAAAGACAGCAAAACATCGGAGATTTTTTTTAATGTTTTACGACATTTTTCGAATATTGACAGAATAATTATGGGTTAACACGACCGTCTTTCCAAAATCCAAACGTCAAAACTGTTTCTGAATAATGCATTTGATCATTAATAAGGCAGTACTGGCAGGGCGAGTAAATGGATGAGAGAGAGGAATTGATATGCCTTCTTTTTTCTCATGTAAATGAGGCAGACTGACCAGACGGTCGCTCGTCATTTATTCTATCCCAAACTCTAAAATCACAACACCAGCAGCAGGAAGCAGGTTCTCTTTTTTTTTCACACTTCATGTTGCATTCAAAAATATGACGTAAGCTTTACCCCCGTGTTGCTGGTTTGTATGTATCTATCGTTAACATGTAGGTTAAAAAAAATAAAAACAATTTTACATTGTCAACAGACATATTTCAGATGTAGCATGCAATCTCAAAAGAGTTTAAAAAGAAAAGAAACGTGCAGGGCAAATTTGTCCAAGGGATTTTTTTAATATCAATATTTTATTTCAGAAGCACTGGATTAACAACCTAAAATAAAAGAGCAATATTTAAAAAAATAAAAAAATGAATTAAAAAATAAAATCACATGAAATAAACAAGCAAATACAACAGCAGGTAGAATATCCCCTTATAAGATATTACAGAAAAAATACACAAGCAAACAAATAGATCCATGAAAATACTCTAATAAATCTAGAAAGCATGTGAAATATGAATAAAATGATCCAACACACTATGTGATATGTGATAGGCAAGAGTGTAAGTGAAAGAGCACCAAAGACGAGTCCAAACGTTGCATTTGATTTTGATAAACAAAAGATCCACCACAGTGATCAGCTGCATCCAGTCAGGAACATTCTGGGGGTGCCAAAAATGGAGGGGAAAAAAGGGGGGAGGGTGGGGGCTAGAAAGCTAGAGGCCACAGGCGTGTGTAGGTTTACTTTTTTTAAATTGCTGGTTTAGAGAATAACGCCGAGGAAATAAAATAGTTATAAGTAAAGGTTTGCAAAAAGATGTTTTTCCCCTGTCCACAGGGTACGTGGCACACATCCTTCAAGGATGATGGTGGGAAATCATGCGTAGAGTGCAAAGCATGTTACATTTATACCCCCCAATCCAAAACGATTGTGAAAAGTTAATTTAGAAGTGGAATAGCTGCACTTTTGATTATTTATTTTTTATTTTCTGAAGTTATGTATCAGCAGATTTCTGCAGGACGCCCCGCTAATTAGGCCAAAATTTCGGTTTGATCCGAGCTGGGCATGTTGTTCTTTTTCGCTCTCGGTCAGTCAGAGGCTATTTCAAAACTAGGATAATTTTCGGAGTGCATCTCGTGTCCTTAATGGTCGGTTAAAAAAACAAAAACAAAACAAAAAACACGTTTGACTGAAATGTCTGTGATTTCCGACGTTGAAATCCCTCGTCTATTTTGTCCACGCGATAACCTGAACGTGTTTGCGTGCCTCGTTTACATTCGAGTCCGTTTTTAAGATGCAACCACAGACTCAAAGGCAAAGGTGCGCTTTTGCAAAGACCTGGGTCCGCAGGCGCTTGGCTTCCATGAAAGAGCTGATGCGCTACTTGATCCCAGTGGTCAGGCTGAACATAAGAGGGCGCTCCCATTGCACCTGGCTGTGCTGCCCTATCCACCCTAGACACACGGAGCCGGACACCAGCCTCTCTCGTGGGTTCTGCAGCGGTACACAGCGCAGGCTCAACTGTTACATTCGATTGATCATTGATAGAGGGAAAAGGGGGGAAAGAACGATAAACATGATTTTAAGAAAATTGTATTTTCTCAAAATTTCAAATTATTCCACATCAGTAAGTTGTACCTTTTTATGAATAATAATAATATATTCAAAAGTTTTTAAATGTCTGTATTTACAGTTAAGATGGGTAACCTGGGCTCCAGTCTTTCTAGCCTATTATCAGCCCAGCTGGGGTCACTGAGCGGAGGATCGAACCCGCGGGCCGTGCGTGTGGCATCTTTAAAATGTGTCATTAACATCTTCACTAAAAAGCAAAATCAATTTAATTTTCGTCGTTAAAAAAATATTTGTGTTGTTTCCCTTTGTGTCTCAGCCTGAGCTTCGAGTCCACACGCAATTTTTATTTATATTTTCACAGCATAAGCTCGCTCAGTCGGTTTCCTTAAGAATTTCCTGATGCCCTTTTCATATCTGTTTACCATAGCCTGAACACATGACTGACACTCATCTTGTTAATATTGCAGCCTATGAACATCTTAAATCCCCAAATCCTTCGGAATATAATGGTCGTTATCTCTTTATAAAGTTATATGACTTTTCTCGATAGCAGCTTTCATCTTTAAATACTTTCACCCCTGCTCATTTCCTCTGTTTCCCTTTGTGCTTTGTCTGGGATTCCGAGTGCATGGCGTACACGCGCGGGCACGCGTAACACGCGAGCACGGTAGCCGATCTGTTAAATAAAGTAAATGTAATTTAATTTGAACACATTAAAGTAAATATTTCTAAAAGCTGACAAGTGCTACACGTGGGTCTCTGACAACCATCACAGAGTGCCGGTCCAAGCACGTTAGTGACGATTATTGGGGGGAGGGGGGCTCTGCCCTCTGAATGCACAGTTTTGTTCCTTGCAGTCCTTCATATGGTCAAGCACTTTCATGTGCTCCGCATCTACGGAGAATTTTGCATTTTTAAGCTCCTCTGCCTTTCTTTGTCATATCCACGGGCTGTCATAGCCACAGGTTGTGTTGAATTTGCAATGCCACTCATCGATGTATGCCTATTGAGACTGGCACGTGGACAGTTATCCTTCCCACTGAGAGGCGCAATTGAATGGTGGTAACACAAAAGCTTCAGACCCTGTCAGTTCCCCCTTTTTCTCTTTTCAGTGATGCATAGGCCCTAAAAGCATCAAGGCCTCTGCCTGACTGCTCTGCCTTTGATTTAGCCTACACTATACTCAATATGGTCGCTGATGGAGTAATATCAATCAGGCCTTTGCATAAATTTGTAAACTGAAGTTTGCATTGTTAGGCTTTAGGCGACTGACTGGCTCAAAGCTGCCTCCTACAAGCCTCAAATTACACCACACTCTTTTATTATCTCGCAGCCCCTTTAACTCCTCTCGCACGCTGTTTTCAACCTATTCATTTTTACAATCTCTTCTTCCCGAGAGAGCAGACACGTCGCAAATCCTCGAGATTCCTGCAGACTGCCTCTCACACAGCAAAAATGCGAGCTGTTCGAAGGGGCGATGCAGTTGTCTTGTTTTTCTAAGAGGGGCATGCTATACAGGCGATGCCGCATTGCTTAAAAACAGGTATCAGTGCCTGCCGTGGCTTGTGGAAGGCAAGTGCTGAGGAAATGCCGTGTTACAGCACACCATATATTTTACCAGCAGAGAGAGAGGGAGAGAGAGAGGGGGGAGAGACAGACAGAGAGGGAGGGAGGGAGAGAAAGAGAGCGATGGAAGGGGGGAGTTGGGTCTTGGCCATATAGGATACAATGTAAGAAGTTTGATTTTCATAGGCTCTTCAAAGGAATATATGCTATTGGATCTGTAGAAACGCCGGGTCCCATGGGGTTTCATAACCTTTCTAACCTTTAAGTCAAAGGCCCCTGGAAAATATAAAATATGGTCTAGCATTCATCTACCATCTTCGCCACTGCACCATCACAAAAGGCTAAACACATCGGCTGTGTGAGATCCTCGAAAAAAAAAAAATTAATAAAAATGAAACACATTAGATTTGTCTGTGCCATGCATTTCTATCCGAGACACGCGAAAACAAACAAACAAACAAAATACATGTTCGGTAGATTTATTAACCCGGTTAAAAGTCGTTTCTTACCAAAGCTTTGTATACTGGGTACTTTGAATCTGTATGATTGGGCAATGTTTCGGCCGGGCTATGTTTGCCTTTTAACTGTTAACTCTGCGTCTGAATTCACCATATAGACCCAGACTAACAAATCCGTATTGTTTCAATAAACATGGCACGTTGTGTTATCAGGGAAAGCTACTGCTTGTATTCAGTGGACCAGGGACTCTATATGGAAGTGTTTGCACAGAAAGTGTGCACACTAAGAGTGAGGGATTGTCCATTTCCTCGGAGAATCAACAATAAAATTATCATAACAAAGAGCACTGAGAGACTCAAAGGTTGATTTTTTGCAATGCGGTCTTTTCATTCGGAGGAAACGATGGGACATCAGTTACAGAGGAGACGTGCTTTACGGAAATATTATTAAGACAAACAAACGCAGAACCTCAACAAATTCGTGTTCGGATCGATCATAAAGGCTTTCAGAATTTCCTGAACACGAAACACCTCAGGATGAGATGAGACACTGACCACCTGGGCTTCCTGTCATAATATCAGTGTAATTATCACAGCATAGCAAATTCCATGCATACAGGCCGGAGTGGACCAAACAAAAAAACAAAAAAATGCCTGACACAACTCTGTCACCTTGTCACACATTTATAGTGTTATTATTATTATTTAAGAGAAGGTGCACTTATTGAACATGATGCTGCCAACAAACAAAATCAGTTTAGTAATAGATGTCTTGATAGCCTGTTTCCCCATCACTCCTCTGTGTTTCAGCAAGCCTTTCACTGATGTGCTGGGTAAGAAACAATATATGTATATTTTTTAAATAGCTACTTCAGGCTTATGCACATTATAAATAGCCTTAAAAATTAAATTAGATATCACACACATGTATAGGATAGTTGTGGCTTCAACAAGTTCTTTATTTGGTTGGGGTTTTTTAAGAAGCTGAATTTTCTTTGCATACTGTACGAATAAAAGCAGCTCTCACGAGTTTGCCAGATTTACAGGAAAAAAATAAAAAATATTTAAACCTTTTATGGGGTTCTCCTAATATCTTAAATAACAAATTCTTTTATATTCCAACACTGCTGTAAGATATTGTGCTGAATTTTATTTGGTCTGCAATTTGGAACTGGCTGTAACTGTAAGGACGACACGTCCTTTTCATACCTTCTCCGTCAAACTTGCATTTTGCTCCGTCTTATTCTATAAAACCGAATTTGACAATTTCACATTTCCGTCAGGTGTCATGGCTTTGTTGCTTTATTTCACTTAAATATACGCACACACATTTTTATGCGAGTTGAGAAACACCTCATTGCTCTAAAGTTGCAGTAGACTTTCATGTACGTCTCACCATTGAGCCAGTCACCGTTGTTTTAATTTGATTTGATTTTTAATTGGGAAATAAACGCAAGAATTCAAAAGGATTCCCTTCCATGTTTTTGCAAGGGTCGATCTACACGAAGTTGATCAAAGTTTGACATTTTTGAAGGCGCGCGACACCGCTGTTTAATGCCAACTTCAGTCTCTGGGCAAGTGGCTTTCCTCTTAATGCTTCAAAATGTATAAATGTGCACGTACATATAACCTGTTAGTTCTAATATCCATGGAACTAAGCATGCTCCTTTTTCCCTTTGTTTTTTGCGGGTTACAATAGTAAGCTATACCCTGGCATCCTGCATGCTGCTGTTACAGTACACTTTTGCATAGATGTGGAAATCGCTTTGAAAAAAATAATCATCCCCCCCCCCGCAAATGTTTATTGTAGTTCTTTGCAAACACGACAGGTCGCTGAATGGTTACAGGTACACTGTGCCGATGACTAGCAGGCGAACTTTTCTGGTCATTTCAGCTGCCGAGAGTCTGATTTGGTTTTCAATAACTTCTTTGAACGTACAATCTAAACTCACTTTAAAAAAAAAAAAAGAAGAAGAAGAAACATAACCCTCCGTGCAGCTTTGACGAGACCAAATTGGCTCACATGGACCCAAAAGAGACTGAATAAAATAAAACCGGACTGCTTATGCGCTTTAAGTGACCGAAACATGTGCATATCTTTCATTTTAAAAAGCAAAAACCGCGACAAGAAAACGTTTCCAAAAAGTGGAGGAAAAAAAAGAGCGGAAGAAAAGCTGCGTCCGTGGCACCGGGCTTTGCCTGCTACGGCTGCCTGCTCCACTATTAACTTTCGCTGCCTTTCCTCTAATCAAACTCTTACTTTCCGCTGTTCTTAATTCCATATTTTCAATTCCTGATCATTACTTTCCTCTTTTTTCTACTTGTATCTATCCATCCATCCCTCCCTCCCTCCTCTTTCTCCCTCCCTCCCTCCCTCTCTCTCCCGAGCTCTCTCCTTTGCTGAATCTTATTGATCCAGAAGGCGGCTAATTAGCCCTTCCCTTCGTGCCTGTGTAATGAAGCACATGCGCACTGAATTAATCACAGCCATTTTTTGCAGGAAACTAATTAGCAGGAATAAAGATCCAAAGAGTTTTTTCTTTTCAATCATCAGATCTCACTTTCACCTCTTCCTCGCTCCCTCTAACACAAGACTCATCGCCTGCTTTGCATCCAAATTATTTTTATATTGCCTTTAACAACTAATAGTACCTACTTCGTTTTTTACACTCCGCAACAACAATGATCTTTCTTTTGCCACCCTAAGCGCAAACTGACCAAAAGGGGACTGCCTTGATGGGATCTTTAGCTAAATCATCTCAATACTGGATTAAAAAGCGAGGATCACAAACCGGCAGCGAGAAATTGTAAGTTTCAACTTTGCGTTTGTCTCTTTTCCTCTGTTTCAGCGATCCTATTCTTTTCGCTGTCTGACTTATCTGAATCTCTCCTCTCCTATCTGTTCGTAGTTTTTTCGTGTAGCGGACCTGGCTATTCTCACGTTGTGAGAAAAGGCTGGCGATCACAAGTTCATTTCATGCAAGTAGTTGGTTTATTCTCGATTTTTATTCGTATCGTTACCTGTGTTTACATCAGCGTCCGTCCTCTCCTCCTCATGAATGGAAGATAAGAAATAGGCAAGACAGCGATCCACTCCAAGCAGTTGATCGTGGAGAGAGGGGGGGGATAAAAAAAAAAGCACGGTTTTAAAACAAATGTGTGCTTTTCGGTGGGATCGGGGAAAGGTGTGGAGGGTTTGTGGTTGTCGAGAAACGTGTTTTGAGGCACAAACGCAATGAGAGAGGGCTGTGCTGAGCGGCGGACGAAGGGCAGCGGCAGCTCCACATGAGCGCTGCCCAGAAAAGGAGCTCCAAGTCCAGCTAGTGGGGTCCGTGTGTGTCCGGCAGATGGGAACATCTCTCTCTTTCTAAATTTTGACAGATTTCACACTTGCCACATCCACGGGGTTTCACCAACGTCGCGTGCTTATAAAATCCTCTTCTGGATAAAGACATTTTTGTTCTTCTCCGACACGTCTCTGTCTGAAATGGGCAATCCCTCCGCCCTGCCTTAGTTCCTCTAGCTACACTTTCCCCCCTTTACCCCACTTTGTCCATCTTTTCTTTTTTATTTTTCATAGCGGTTTGCCTCTTTCAAGCGTTGTTTTTAAGTCGATACTCGCTCATTCACTGACGGAGTCACATGCAAATCGATCGACGTGTGTGTGTGTGCGTGCATGAGCGGGTTTGTGTTTGCGGGCGCGGTGTGTGCAATGTGAATGTGGTTTGTTGAGGGAAAACGGAGCCCAGGGTCTCCTTCGTGACAGGAGCGGATCAGCAGGACCTTGTACACGGACAGCCTGAGAGTCTGAGCAGCGCTGCACAGAGCAGACATGCATTTTAGGGAAGACGGCGACAGCCTGCGTCTTCTGCCTCGAACTACTTGGCTACCGTATCTTGACTTTCAAGAAAAGACTTTTCCCCGAGAAACGTTGACCAGAAAGACAACAACACATTGCCTCATTTGACTGACCTTAAGCAGACACTATCATTCCAAAGTTACTGCCGGAAACTTTAAGCGTGGTCCAGGCTAAACCTGCAGGTCACTGAATGCATTTAGTGATCGCTCGTAGGAATAAAAAAAAGAGTGAGTGAGAGAGAAAAGAAAGTCAAACTGGATATCTTCAAAATAGAACAGACTGCATTGTTGAGTGGAAAACACACGCCTTTTGAAAGAGATGGTCTCAGCTGAAGAGGCCTTTTTTCCCCAATACAGTTGATTATAGCTTTGATAGGCCAACTAATCTCCCCCTCCCAAAAAACACGAATCTGATCGGAAAAAATAAAGAAATCGGAAATTCTGTTGCCTTAAGTGTAATTGAAAGATAAAAAAATCTGTAAATATCCTCAAACATAACGACTACTTTTAAGGAGGACTTGGTCTATATACGGCTATTTAAAAAGCGGCGAGAATGATTAGGTAATCTGCGATATATTTCGCGACACAGAGTCGGGAATAGAAAGAGAGAAAAAGGTTTTTCCGAGCGAGCAGAGGCATTGATAGGATATGTGTACCGTTTGGGGAAGCAGAAAGGGGGGTGAGAGGCTGTGTGTGTCTGTCTGTGAGGGTGGGGGGGTAGGTCAGACAGCAAGAAACGGGGGGAACAGGGGTCATGGAGTGAGTGCAGAGATAAAAAAGACAGAGAGGAAACCCCCTCGCAAACAGCCGAGGGATAATGGGGAGAGAGTGGGTCTGGCTGGGGGAACAGGGTGATGGTAGGCTAGTTGTTGGCATGTTTTTTTTGGGAGCCACACAAAGCCCGTATGGTTGTCAGCATCTGCAGGATTAAGACTTATTTTAGGATGGGAGAAACGAAAATAGATCGGTAAAGGGTTTAATAAAATTAAACGTTCATGTAGTCAAGAGGTTGCAAGAGAAAGCCCCCCCCTCAAAAAAGGGGTGGGGGTGGGGGTGCTGCTGAGGGTAGGAGTGCAGAGGGGTCAGATAGCCATGGGCCATAGAGGAGCAATCAGAGGAAGAGGTCAGGTAAACAGATCCCTACCTTTCAGGCTGTAGAGGAGCAGACAGAAAGAGATTAGCACTGCCAGAGAGAGGAGAGACCAGCATTCTTATTTTTCTTTGCATTTTTATCGGTAATCTGATTCACATTTAAGTCATTTTTTTTCTTCTTCTGTACTTTGTATTCCTGTGTCTTTCTGCGACTGCAACAGTAACTTTTATGTGCTTCGAATTTTAAAGGTGTTAATATAGGACAGGTAGGCTGCTGTGCCAAAACATGAGTGATCTCCCTTCCTCCCCTGCCTGACAGTTAACGCTCCACATCCTCCCTCTCTCTCCCTCTTACCTTACAAAACAAAGACAGCAGAAATGTTTACTGTCATCTCACCTGTCTGATTTTCCTGTCTTGCCTCATTGTCATATTTATGTTTAATTATAACAGTTCTAGGAAAAGGTATAGGAATGTCACATGCTTTATTTTTGTGTAATCTATTTCACAAATTGTCAGGAGCTGTGTTTGGTGTCGCTAACTGTAGTATCTCAAGCTCATCTCTGACTGTGATAGTGGAAGTATTCCGCTCAGGTTTAAAGTGCTACCAGAGTGATGTATTTACCACAGACAGCTTGTGTAGAAATATTTGAGGCCATCGTATTTATTTTGATTTGATTTCTTGTGATCAGTGTTATTTCTCCCTCTCCGTTAATACCTTTCTCAAGACTAGGTTATCATTTTTGTTTAGAAGAGTGTTTTTTGCCAAAAGCTCATTTTTAATATTTCCACAAATCCAAAAAACATTTCAACACAAATAGGTATGGCAAATCACCTAAGCAAAATATGAATGTAGTATATTCCCTATGTTGACAATAAAAGAAAAAAAATAGCTTATGGATTTATTTCCCAAATTTAATTGTAATTATTTTTTATCAGAATTTTATTAGTTTATAATTTGATCTTTGTGACATCACACGGTGGGATTGTTATGTGAACGTGATGGACAAGTATCTAAATTCTTTTTCTTTTTTTGAAATCAACTGGATTTGATTTTCTCCTCCACCCCAATAGCACTGTGGTGCATTTCGTTGTGAAGCGTGATTCTGGTTGTGATTTATCGTGTACTCACACCTGGTTATTTCTGTGTTCTTTGTGTTGCGATTGTTATTCATAACATGAAGGCAATATTTGGCATCGTAAAGCTCTGATATGATGTCAGTATTTGCTGTGGAGATGTGCAGTTGTCATTGATCTTGCACGGCAACAAATCGGTTGTCCACTGTTTGCACTTAGCCACCCCCTCATCTTCCATTACAATATTTGATGACAGGTATATTCAGAGAATTCAGGTGTCACTTGACCGAATGAGTGGGAACAGCAGGTCCAGTTTTGTAAACGAGATAAAGGGGAGTTGCAGTCATCACAGATGGGCTTGTTCCGTGGTTTGGGGGGGTAGCACAGAGAAAGGGGAGACAGCGCCTCTGGCTGTCGTAACCCCTTCTCTTCCTCTCCATCTCCCCTCACTCTCTCACTCTCTCTCTCTCTCCTCCCTCTTTCACTTACCATCCTGTTCTCTGTGTTTTTGCATTTCGCTCTCCTTAACTCCCACCTTTCCGTGCTTGGGCACCGGTGCCGTGGGAGAGCTCGCTGCCATGTCCTCTGTCGGAGAGAGCCCTCTTTGGGTGAAACAGTAGGCTTGGGCCATGTAGGAGACATTCAGCACAGTTTCACTTGTGTCAGATAAAGTGTGTGTATGCACATATAGAAAACAAAAATCCATACTGATTTATGTGAAAAAAAAATTCTCCATATTATTATTATTGTTATTGGACGGTTATTAAACAGTCACCAGACAGTTATTTCCTCCTTTCTGTGTATTGTCTGCATGTAAGTCAGAAAGTACAATATATGTGACTGGCAGTGATCACAGACGATGGCTTTTGAATTTGATGTGTGATTTTGATGCATGGTCATGCAACAAAGACCAGTTTTTCCAGCTGTCCTGCAGCCGAGGCCAGTATTTGCAGTATTTGTGTCATGCTATCATAAAGAAGCGGGCAGGGGGAGGAGGGTGTCTTAGTTAAACACAGATAGTGAGAAAGTGGGATGGGAGAATAGAAGGGATGTCATACTCTAGTGTGTGTGTGTGTGTGTGCGCATAAGCATGCCTACAGTGTGTGCATGAATTCTCTACCTGATCCCTAATCCCAGTGGCCCCCAGTGTCCAAAAAGAGTTCCTCTTTATCCTCAGAAAGCCATTCCTTTTTTCCTTATAATTCTCTCCCTGTCATTTTTTCTTCCGAGCTTTTCTTCATCTTCAGTGTCATCCTTTTATCTTTAAGTGAAATTGGTTGGTTATTTTTGTTTTTTTTGTGGTTTACTCTTTCACAATATGTTATCGTGTTAACAATCTTGGTTAAATCATTGTGGTAGACAAGATTTATGACTGAGAAAGATGCGCACGTGTCTGTGTGTGTGTGTGTGTGCCCGCGCAGCAGCGTTCAGATTTGTGGGCATACTGCCGTTCTGAAAATCTAATATCTTTTGAGTGTTCCCCATCAAGGTCTTTATATGATACCCTTTTGTTTTTGTAGTCAATGCTTTTATTAATTTTAAACAGTTTCCAAAAATCTAAGCCAGCGTTCAAATCAGAGCAGACCTGTGTTGTGAGAACGCAAAATCGCTCTCTTATCATACAGACATTAGAAAGATGGGGAGAAGGAGAAGAACACCC